GTCCGTCCGTTGCAAGGGTTATTATTTAGATTTTACTATTAAAGTCTACATTTTATATTATTTTTTTATTAATTTATAAATTTTATAATAATAATTTAACAAAAAAATTTCTAATTAAGTAATTAAGACTGACTTTGATATTGCTTTTAGTAATCAGCAAGAGTACTTTTAAAAAGTTATATAAAACCACATTAAAAAAATAATATTAAAAGAATTCCAGAAATATTCAACATTAATTTTTATCTTATAATCTAAATAAATATGTTCTTTTTTTTATTATCTCAATTAAAGAACATAAATTCCTTGGGATCTTGCATTTTAATTGCTTTAGAATTATAATCAAATTAAAAATAAAATTAAATAACGCTCTTATTAATTTCTTATCAAGTTATTTTAGCACGTGCATTGCACTTTCTTATTTTATTTTATATTTAAATTATGTAATTTTCTTTTATAATTCTTTTTATGATAAAGTTACTTTAAAAAAATACAAATTATATTTGTTAATTAGATTAAAAGATAAAAGGATAGGTTTTTGTATTATATATTATAAAAAATGTTTTTAATCCATTTTGTACCAAAATATTTTTTTTACCTTAAGTTAATTTTAAATTTTACTACCCAAACTACCTTCTTACGTAGTTTAGCTTAAAAAGGTGATTCCCATGTATTGTAAATTGGAGTTTTAAGACTTTTTCAAATAATTAAAGTTAGAGATGATTTGATTTCTTTTTTTTTTTAATAAGTTTGCAAGGGGTAGGATATGAACCATTGTTCAGGGAGAGGAGAATGCACTTAATGAGCGGCTTGAGGTTACTAGGCCGAAGGTCCAGGTGCTAGAGATGATTTGATTTTATAATATTAAATTTTATCATTTTCATTTTATCTTTGTTTTTTTCTAAATTTTTAGTGGTTCATCCTAAGAAATATAACATTTTTAACTCTAAAAAGCCTTATTATTTTAATAAGATTTAAAATTTTAGTATTTTATATTATTGATGATTGATATTGTAATAAAATAATTATTATTATTTATATCATGTTGCCTTTTGATCTTCAACTACAAATCATAATATAATAATTACAATTGATACTACATTTTTCATTATGAAATTTTTGAACATTCATAATTTTTTTTTTTTTTGATACTATCTCTCACTATCTATAAACTACATTGGGTTATAACTAATAAGAAGTTACATTATGTTGGACCCAAAAAAAAAAAAACTATATTAGTACTTATTTCTCTATTTATAAAATTTTACTTAAGAGAAACTTAATTTCTTCCATTCGAAAGTGTACATTCATAAGTTTTTCTTTTCATACTCACTTGTACTTTTATCTTGGAGTTAGGTAACAATAATAATATTAAATAATAATAGTACTTTAATCTTTAATATTTATGTTTACCTAAATTTCTTGCATGGCACCTCATATATTATTATAGAGCAATGCTAGGGACACTCGCTTTTTGCACTCTCCGGTCAACACTTTCTTTTTTATTGGGCCACGTTATCTCGGTTGGGTAAAATTTCGCCTGAAAGCTTTAAAGAAGCTTACGTGGCCCAATGAAAGAGGAAGTGTCGGCCGGAGAGTGCGAAAAGCGAGTGCCCCTAGCATTGCTCTATTATTATAAAGATAAACCATATTCAAACAATTAATAAGTCGTTTTAATTTTTCTTCTTTATTATTATTTTTGAAATTAATGTTGAAATAATATAATATTTATCATTTATATGTTACATTATTAATTACGTGCCTCTTGCTATTTCATTATTAACTATAATATAATAATTTCAATTGATGTTACACTTTTCATTATTTAGATCAATCATAAATGAACTTTTGTATATTCATAACTCTTTTGTTTTTCATGCTCTCTACATTTATCTTTCTTTAAAATATTTACATAAGATTTTTTAATGTAAAAGAAAAGCGAAAAAGAAAAGTTTCATAAATTTGGGTTGTTTAGGACCTGTAATATTACATAAATAATTA